GGTGGAGTGAATAATAAAAAGGGTGAGGAGGTAATTGTATTAAAATTGTTGTTTCGGGTTTCACTCAATTCAGAATCAAATTTCATTCAGGGGGAGAACCCTCAAAACTTCAAATTCCTTCAAAACAGCCAGCTGGGGAAAGTGAGGGAGAATGTGGTGGGATGGTTGATCGGGGTTTAAAAAGAATGTGTGTGTGGGTTTTGGGGGTGGGGGGGGTGGGGGAAACAAACAAAAAATCAATAAAGATTTATTGATAAGTTTCCTACACGAAGCAGTGTCGCTGGTGTCTAAATTCAGCTGAAAGCAGCACAATATGCTCATGGTGATAGTGTGGTAGCTATTTCATACAGCATGCACACTACATGTATCTAAACTTTCAAGTTTGACAACGCGACAGCCATGCTGCATGCCAGCCAGAAGCAAGAAGCGAACACAGATTTAAATCATGATCATATTATTGTTATCCTAAACCCAGCACTGTATTGGCCACCGCATTTTGTTATAATTAAAAAAAAAGAAAAACTGTTCTACACTGTTTCACACCATGGGTTTCGCAAATAAATGAAGAAAACCAAATCTCCTAGCCATTCATCCTATTAGTATTAGAGTCAAATGGTGCGCGCTATGTTGAACCGGAAGTACGTCACAGTACACAGTCTAAGGATATCATTATACTACAAGTCTATGGTAGCGTCATCATAGAGTTCTCTTCCTGGCACTATGCCCGGGAAGTAAGCTTGAGACATTCCCGAGGTAGTAAAGGCTGTGAGATAGAGGTGGGCAAAATCCGGATCATCTTTCCGGGTAACTGGATAACTATCAATGAAACATTGTCCGAATTCAGACTCGTTAACTTCATTTCCTTACCCGTTTGCCGAAGTGGATGCACCCATTTGTTGAAATGATGCTAACACGTTTGTTGAAGTGGTTCTAACTCATTTGCCGAAGCGGTTCATATCATATTATTTGCCGAAGAGGTGCACTGACATATTATCCGGATTTTGCTAAAGCGACTCATTGGCCAGCTCTACTGTGAGAGACAGCTCTCTTCTCGTGCTTGACAACGTGCGGAATACAACATATGCACAGGAGAACGTGCATCTGTTATATACAATAAGTGTTTGATTATACAGGCTTACCCATTGGCTGTTAAGTACAAGTATTTAGGTCGTCAACAGTTGGGTTTTGTTTGGGTTTTTTCCTTTCGGTATAATTATTTGTTATGTACAGGTATTAATTACGTCTATACTCTCTCTTATCTGTTATTACGTGTACCCCCCCCCCTCTTTTCTTTCTTTTAGACGTATTTAGAGAAAGAAAAAAGAAGAAGAAGTAGAACAAAATAAAATAAAACCAGAGATCCTCTTGTGTTTCTTGAGTACACATAGTTTATTTGTCCGTACACTGATAAGTTAGAGACATAAGTATTTCCTTCCTCTGTTATGTGGTTTGAATATTTACGACAGTCTTTCTGAGAGTGTTAAGACTGTGAACAGACACATCATGTTTTGTTGCTGCTGCTCATATGAATGTAAATAATAATAAT